TTATTTACCAAATATATTCTGGAAGCAAATAAATTTTACTTCTGTCAAATAAATAATTTATTTTACAGAACTAAATTAATTAATAAGTATTGCCATAGCTTTGGCCCGCTATATTTACGTCTATCATTTAGTAATAGCAACCAAATTTTGATAATATTTACTAAATTCTTCTTTCAGTGCACACTGAGAGAAAAATGTATGATATTTGGAACTATAATGGCATAGTTAAAAGATTATAGTTAGAAATATCTTTTTTATAGTAAATGTCAATTTGTAATATTTATAATATAAGCATAGTATAACTGACTCATGTAAAACTTTTACCAAGAATTATAATTATTTGAAATAAAAAACATAGTAAGATAGCAAATATTAAATGGTAAGAGAAATTAACTATTTTATATGATCAATACAATTGGAATATTTGGAAAATATGGGTACATATAACTATATTCTCAAAGCGTGCCTTACTATACACATAGAGTAATAAAATGGTGACTGTAAATGTGTGTTCATTCTGCTATATCTTCGTTTTTGGATGAACTATAAATATATGTTTGAGGCAAAAATGAAACTATAAAATATAGTGAGATTATAGTTATTTCAACTATTTTTTTCTCTCAGTGCATGTAGAAAGAGACCGTAGACATAATGTACATAGACTCCGCATGCAGTCAGAAAAGAGAAGCCAATGTGTACAGCCCCCTCTGTTCTCTGTCTCTTTCTGCAGACAAAGTGTGCACTGAAAAATAGTTGGAATAACTATAATCTCACTATATTTTATAGTCCATTTTGGCCTCAAACATATATTTATAGTTCATCTAAACATGAAGATATAGCAGAATGAACAAAGATTTATAGTCACCATTTTATTACTCTATGTGTATAGTAAAGCACACTTTGGGAATATAGTTATATGTATCTACATTTGCGAAATATTCCAATTATATTGACTATATAAAATAGTTAATTTCTCTTACCATTTAATATTTGCTATCTTACTATGTTTTTTATTTCAAATAATTATAATTCTTGGT